ACACTCAAAGAGCCACTTGGACCCGTTTCCCACCTAAAACAAAACACTGGGAGCCGCACAACCCTTTTGACATCTAAAATGAAGATAACACTGCATATATCCTTTTTTATCTTTTATATATATATATTCCTCTCTCTTTCCTTTCCCCCCCTCTCTCTCTCCTCTCCCTCTCTCTTTCCTCTCTCTCTCTCTCTCTCTCTCTCTCTTTCTCTCTCTCTCATTCTCTTTCCCTTTCTCTTTCCTCCATCTTTCCTCTTTCTCTCTTTCTCTTTCCTCTATCTCTCCCTTTTTCTTTCCTCTCTCTTTCCTCTCCCTCTCTTTCCTCTCACTCTTTCTCCCTCTCTCTCTCCTTCCTCTTCCCTCTCTCTCTTTCCTCTCTCTCTCTCTTTCTCTCTTTCTTCTCTCTTTTTTCTCTCCCCTCAAGATCTCTGGTTGCCCCTTTCAGTGACTCTGGGCAGCTTACAGTTCAGAAAGAATTCGGGCAAGTGGCATTTCAAAGGTCAGACCGGGGCTTGGTCGGGCCCTCGTGGGGTGCAATTAGGGGCAGCTCCGCAGAGTCCCGGGCACCTGACTCATGCAGGAAGCCGGCCGGGAGCCCACAATTAGCGGGCCCACCAGGAAGGGGCTGACATGGACACCCCCGCGGCGGTCAGGCAGCCCCTGAACTCCCCGCCGAGCCAGACAGGATTCCTGGCCAGCCGGCCATGGGGTGGGAACAGCTCCCTCGCCGGGGCCGCTCGGCCTCCCGAGCTGTCCAGCCGTCCCGGCCTTCCCAGGGCCAAATCCTGCAGGAGGACGAACCGGGCCAGCTGGGCAGCGGGAAAGGAGGCACACTGCGATTCGCACAGTCCTGGTCCAGAAGACCGCCCCCGCCCAAGGGACGGGGGGGCTGTGAGGGGGAAGCCCCTTCCAATGCCCGGAAAGCAGCGCTTCTTCTCCTGCTCCAGGCGTGGGAAAATGAGCGGCTATTCCTGCCAGCTTGGTGTCATTTGCAAATTTGATGATTTCCCCATCTGTCCCCTCGTCCAAATCATTGATGAAGAGGTTGAAGAGCACTGGGCCCAGAACAGAGCCCTGGGGCACCCCACTACACACTTCCCTCCATGTAGATGCGGTTCCATTGAGGACCAAACGCTGAGTACAGCCGGTCAGTCAGCTACAGATCCATCTGGTGGTGATGCTGTCTAACCCACATTTTTCTATCTTATCGAGTAGTTGGTTGTGATCTACTTTATCAAATGCCTAACTAAGTCCAAGTAAATTATATCCACAGCATTCCTCTGATCCACTAATTTTGTCACTTGGTCAAAGAATGCAATAAGATTTCTCTGGCATGATCTGTTTTTGACAAACCCATGTTGGCTTTTAGTAATGACTTTGTTTGCCTCTAAGTGTTCGCTGATTTGTTGTTTGATTATCTTTTCCAAAATCTTCCCAGGTATTGAGGTCAGGTTGATAGGTCTGTAATTTCCTGGGTCCATTTTCTTTCCTTTTTTGAAGATAATTTTTTGTGCTAATATTCATTTATGTTTTCTGGAATTATACGTTATCTGGAGATCACATTCAGGAAGGAGAGCCAGCTGCTCTGCCCCTCAGCCTCCCTGTACATTATGGTGGCTGCATGACCTCATCCCAGAAGTGGACATCATTCCTTGCAGCCAATCCCAAAATGGTGCTCATTTCTGAGATGGTGCCACACAGCCTGGGTGTCAGAAGGCTGTATGATGAATTAGCTGCTTTCTGAAGGAGATCTACAGAAGAGTTAAGTCACCGAGACATGATGGGGGAGAAGGATGGGGGAACCTAGCATGGTGGGAAGCAGGCCTAAACCCTGGAAGGACTCAGCAAGGTGGGATGGGGAAAAAAGTTAGGTGCACGGTAGCATCCCTGCAGTCAGTCATAAAGTGGGTGGATTGCCAAGTGTCTAAATTTTGTTCATATGACTGCAGGGATGCTGCAGCAGCTATAATTTCCAGCAGGGCTCACAAGCCCCTTTGTTCCGCTCCTTCATAATTTTAGACGGTCGCTGAATGAACAGTCATACGTCAAAAGACTAGTTGTATTTCTTTTGAAGTTTTGCATCTATTTCATCTTACAGTTTTCAATTTATTCCATCTGTTTTGTATTTCAATCAATTTATATATACACTGTGACAAGTGATCTTGATTTTTTATAAATATTTCAAATTCTGTCAGCTTTCTCAATGTCTCTTTATTCTTCTAGCGCAGTGGTTCTCAACCTGTGGGTCGGGACCCCATTTGGGGTCGAACGACCATTTCACAGGGGTTGCCAAACAACGCAGTCCGCCATTTTTTTCCCCCTTTTCCTTAGCTGTGCTACTCCCTTTTATTCTATTGGCTTTTGAAAGCCAATAGAATAGACTCTCTTGAATAGAGTCTAATTCTATTGGCTTTCAAAAGCCAGTAGGAATTGTCCAGGCTGTCTCTGCCCTCCTGAGTCCGCTAGGAGGGCAGAGACAGGGAGTCACGACATTAAAAAGGTTGAGAACCACTGTTCTAGCGATTTGTAAGTACGTCAATTATTGTACATTTCCAATAAGCAGTTCTTGCTAAGGCCTTTAGTCTGTTTTATGAGTCTTGATGCACCATATTGGCATATGTGAATACATATTTCTTAGTGTAGCTGTCCTTGAAATAAAAGATATTTGATAGTGAAGCTAATGGAGAAGTCACCAGATTTCCTCTTGTTTTTAGAAACAAGAGATAGAATTGTTTCACTCACCAATTAATACTATACATTGTCCATGAAGCATGTATGACTTCTCTCTGGATGGTACTACAATATTTTATAAATTCCTGTTTCTGGTAGACTTTCACCTGCTAAAGTTTGTTCTGTTTTGTTCAGCAGAGTCTGTAGACCAAGCAATTAATGCTACTACAATTTTATTACATTTTGTTGAATCTATTATTTTTTATTTTAAACTATTTTAGGATGCTATTCATTAGAAAGACAAGACTCAAATTTCAATATCAATAAAAATAATCTTTCCTGTGTTATCAAATAATTCTCTCTTTGTGTGTTTTATGGTAGGTTACATTGGAAGAAAATGCATCAGGTCCTGCTAAGATAGCTATTTAAACAGTTCTAGCATGTGAAATTGTATTTTTATTTTTTGATAGCATTGGAATATCTTTTCCTATTTGCTTTCATAAACAAAAAAATAAAATGTATTGATGCCAAGGTGTTTCTGTTCTTTCATATGTGGCATACTTCTGTTCCTTGGATTCGTTTTGACTATTTTCTGTTAATGTAGACATGAACAAAATGTTTTTTGCTTGACCTAGTTGAGCTGAGAAATGTTCTACTGACAAGCTACTTATCTGTCAACATTTTTAATCTCTTTTCTACTCTATTGCCTTTGAAATTATTTAACAACAGAGTAGTTTTAAGATCAACTTTTTAATCTTTTTAAACTTTTAATAGCCCTATTAGACATCTGTTATTAACTCCTTGTTTAAATATTCTATAGGGGTTTGAACAATATGCAATAAATTTTATTGATTAAATATCTGATCATATCAAAAAGCTACCAGAACAGTACCAAAAACACAGTAAAACATATTCATACCAAAGGGTCACCTGTGCTGTCAAACTCAATTTGTTTTAGGTAGGCTATCTTCTTAATAATGGTCTTTGATATGAAAATTGCAGCCTTCCTAGTAATATGCAAATTCATTCCGTATAAGAGGTATACTCTTTATCCCGATTATCCCAATATTAGTTTTTAAACAAGATTCTAAGTTAGTTATACAGGATTTGTATGATACCTTCAAAAGCAGATGCGCCAACATATACAATCTTTCTGCAAATGAAACTCTGTGGCAGGGGACCCCAACCCCCTGGGCCTTGGCCCTTTCAGAACTGGGCCGTGCAAGCAGTGGATGAGTTTGTGAGCACATGACACGCAGCTCCACTTGTGCAAGTGGCGGGTGTTTACGCTCACATATTGTTAGACACAAAAATAGTCACAAATTGAAATCCACTCTGAATTACAAATAGAAAAGAAGTTTATTAGACTTCACATCCAAGTCTAAAAAAATAACGGTTTGCAAAGCGTGGTGGATTCAGGAAGGCAATGCAATGTAGCCAAGCACTGAACCACACCCCAAATTCCAAAATCACATATTATTATACATCCTATCGCGATGCCCCATTCCCTCCCCCATGGCCCCATTGGCTTAGGCTTTGGAGGTTACAATCTATCAGAAGCGCCTAAACAGAATATATTATACTAATAAGATCCCTCCCCTACTATCCTATATCAATTCTAGAGGAGAGATGTCTCCCATCTTCTACACCTGTTAGATCCAGTAGGGGTACCAGGCACCAAAAGGTACTTAAAAACAATTTCTAGATGGTGACTCACACTGGGCCCCATGGTAACTCCTGTTCTCCCCCCTTCCTCCACCTGAGGCTTGTATTTTTCCCATATACTTGAAGCATCTACTCAGGCAATTGATTATACAATGATAATTATAAAATATAAAATATGATTACATGATAATACTAAAAGCATATACCATAAATGCCGGCGTATAAGGCGACTTCCGTGAGCGCTGAAATCGGCGCCAAAGACGGGGGTCGTCTTATACGCCGGAAATACTGGTAGTTTCCGGCGTATAAGACGACATTCTAGGAATGCAGCCCGGCTATAAAGACGGGGGTCGTCTTATACGCCGGGTCGCCTTGTACGCCGGCATTTACGGTATATTTTTATTTTTAAATTTCCCCCACAATATGAAGCTACATTTATGTGGGCGTGGGTGCTTGCCGCTTGCACAAATGGAGTTATGCACCTGCCTACTGCTCACACAGAGCTATCCCCTCCCCCCGCCAGGCTGGAAAGGTTGGAGACCGCTGCTCTATACAATCTCTCATATTTTAATTGTTCAAAACTTGTTCTAAATCTGTTCTGTCATAAATCAGTATTGTATTTCTTCTTAATGAAATGATTACCGATTCGGGTGTTTATTTTTCAGCATATGCAGATGACTATTCAAGCTCTTCAGGATGAGCTTAGGATCCAGAGGGACCTGAACCAACTTTTCCAGCAAGACACCAGCAGTAGATCCAGTGAACCGTTTCTTACAGAACTTACAGAAGAAAACTTCCAACGGCTTCATGCAGAGCATGAGCGTCAAGCCAAGGAACTCTTTTTGCTACGCAAAACCCTGGAAGAAATGGAGTTACGCATCGAGACTCAGAAACAGACTTTAAATGCTCGTGATGAGTCAATTAAAAAGTTGCTGGAAATGCTGCAGAGCAAGGGATTGTCTGCAAAAGCCACCGAGGAAGATCATGAACGGACCAGAAGGTTGGCAGAGGCTGAAATGCATGTTCATCACCTGGAAACCTTACTAGAGCAAAAGGAAAAGGAGAACAGCTTGCTCAGAGAAGTGAGTAATTCACTTAATCCATCGAATCTTGCACTATTTTTTTTTCATTGTTTTATCTTTTGATAGAAGCAAGCAGTTGCCAATTTTTCTAACCTGTTTAAAGCAACGCACACCTTACTCTGGAACCTACACTTGCCTGAGTGCAAATTGGTTTCTTATTCATAATTCATTATGACCTCACATATCATTTGATAAATATTATGTGTAGGAAGTTGGGATGTATCTGGGAATAATATCAAAATATCAGAAAAAGATTGGAAGCTGACATTCGAAATTTTGAGTTGTGAATATCCATATATGTTTAAGTCTGGATTCATACATTGAGAGGGTATCAGTCAAGAACATGTCTAAATAAGCAAAATATTTATGAACTTTACTTTTTTGTTCTTTAGGAATTCATTCTTGTGCAGGAAAAATACTGGGAGCAATCAGGAATTTATCCTATTGTTATATAATAGCAAGTCTATTCTAAATATAGCCTACCTGAATCACCACCATCTTCGCATTTGATTTTACTGTCTACTTCTATTTAGAAAACCAAGAAATCTGGGCAACAATAAAGAATGGCAGTTCTATAGTTTCCATAGAAACAGTTATTTTACTATGAAGGATGTTTGAAACCATTTGCTGTTTTGCATCATGTTTCAAATGGAATAAGCATTCTTCATTGATTTTCATATAACTTTATGATTAAATTTAAAATTTTAAAGCAAAACAGCTGAATTATTTTGGACAGAACACATTCATATAAACAAAATCAGAGATGCATCTTATAGGGCGCAGAGGCTTTCTTATAGAGAAAAATGTTGCATTCCAGATTTCTTTTGTAGATTAAAATCGTATTTACAGCAAATTAAAGTCAAATGATGTAAGGAGACTGGACAGCTCTAAGAGGGCGCTGTAAGAGGGCGCTGAGCGTTCTAACAATAAAAATACTGAAGGAGACTTTTGAGGAATGGAATCAGAAAATAGAGTTAACATCAACAATGTCAGTAATGGTGTCTGCTTCTGTGGACAGACTACATCCGAAATTAAATAAATGTTAGATGAAAAAACATATCTGACAAAATAGAGGTGATATTGAAAGTGGATTTACAATTCACAACCCAAGAGAATGTTTAGAAAAGGTTGTTTCATTGGATGTACAAAGAAATTGACTGAGACTTTAAAATTTAAAAGGGAAATATAAATAAGAGAATGACTTGAATAATTTTCTACTGGAAATTACAAAAAAGGCTTCTTAAAGCCTTGAAAAATTCTTTGTGATAGGACAAAGAAGAAATGAAGTTAAAACAAATTGTACAACAATATTTGAACGAACTAAAAATTACGACTTCTAAAAGTAAAATGAAGGAATATAAAGTTGGTTTGTTTGATCAAGATTAAAATAAGTAATCAAAATAATTATTCCTGGCCCGAGTGGATTTTCAGCTAACACCAGGACTGAAAGATGTTTTATAGATTTGTTTAGAGATAAGAGATAAATGTTTATAACCTTAGGAGTGGTGAAAAGCCATTAAATTTGTCTATACTTGTGATTAATTTTGGAGGTCACTTCTTTATATGTAACTGTGAGAGGGACCTCGGAGTCCTAGTGGACAACCACTTAAATATGAGCCAGCAGTGTGCTGCAGCTGCCAAAAAGGCCAACACAGTGCTGGGCTGCATTAACAGAGGGATAGAATCAAGATCACGTGAAGTATTAACACCACTTTACAATGCCTTGGTAAGGCCACACTTGGAATACTGCATCCAGTTTTGGTCACCATAATGTAAAAAAGATGTTGAGACTCTAGAAAGAGTACAGAGAAGAGCAACAAAGATGATTAGGGGACTGGAGGCTAAAACATATAAGGAACAGTTGCTAGAATTGGGTATGTCTAGTTTAACGAAGAGAAGGACAAGGGGGGACATGATAGCAGTATTCCAATATCTCAGGGTCTGCCATAAAGAAGAGGGAATTAAGCTATTTTCCAAAGCACCTGAAGGCAGGACAAGAAGCAACGGGTGGAAACTCATCAAGGAGATAAGCAACCTAGAACTAAGGAGAAACTTCCTGACAGTGAGAACAATTAATCAGTGGAACAGCTTGCCTCCAGAAGCAGTAAATGCTCCAACACTGGAAGTTTTTAAGAAGAGACTGGACAGCCATTTTTCTGAAATGGTATAGGGTTTCCTGCCTGAGCAGGGGGTTGGACTAGATGATCTCCAAGGTCCCTTCCAACATCATCATCATCATCATCATCATCATCATCATCATTATTATTATTGTTATCTCTTTTTTATTAGATTCTTTTTCTTTTTTCTTTTTTTCCCCTTGCACTTATTACTCCTTTCTATTTTCTTTTCCTTTAGTCTTGATGCTTACACTACACCAATATTTAATATCTTATGCTAATATTTAATGTTATTTAATATTTCTGGATCTTTCATTATGAAAATTGCTCTAAAAATGGGAGGAAAATTTGTTTGTAATTACTCTAGTCCAAGAATAATTGTGGTCTAGTGTAAAACAGTTTTCTGTTTTGAATGTTTTAGTCCAAGCATTTTTGTTTTGCTCCTTCTTAACTATAGAGCACTTATGTCAGCTGCACATTAATTGTTTTGATGAACAGTTCCTTGTTATCACTGTGGAAAGAGCTGTCGTCATCAGTAACTAGGTGGTTGCTACTCTGGGAATGTAGGAGTATTGCTGGCACAGATGCTTTATCAGCTTGTTAAGTACATAGCAGATTGTTGCTGTTATTTATTAATCCTGTTTTTTTCAAGTGTTTTGTCCTTCTGGAAGAGGAAAGTTTGAAAAGATCATTGCTAATAGGTATTAAAATTGTTTAAAGTTCTTTAAGCTATTACTTTTGATTGTGCTGGGTTTTTTTGGCAGAAAATTATTGCTATGCAGTTCACTGTAGCTGTTTCTTGGTTGTATAAAAAATAATAACCACGGCAGTACCAGGAAAAAAGATGGAATCATTTACCTAGAATACTTTTTCTATGAATCCCAGAAGTTAAGTTCGATGCTGTTGCATTTAGGTATCTACCTGATGTTTCTTCTTCTTAAACAGGAGATGCACCGTCGTTTTGAAAATGCTCCTGATTCTGCCAAAACTAAAGCTTTACAGACTGTTATAGAGATGAAGGTAAAAGAAAGCAATTCTTTCTATCAAATTGGAATCGTTTTTCTCTTTTATTTTTTGAATTTTTATCCTGACATATTGCACAATACACCGATTCTTTTTTAGCATTTCTGCTATTGTCAGGAGAATTTTAGAGTTTGGTGTATAAATGCGCAAAACTGTTTGTATCTCTTTTATGTCATGTATGTGAAATGAATGTCTCCTTTACCTATTGTCATAATTGCTGTCACTATTTTTTTTATTTATGCTTATTTTGTTATATATTCTAAATGGGTTTCATGGGAAGGATTTTTGTATAAAATAGTTTCAATAACAAGGAAATAATTGTTTTATTGGAAACAGGAAAAAAAGATTACAGAACATTTGAACAAATAGTACATCCTTTTCTAGATGATGTTCTATTCCTTTTGAAAGGACTTGTATGTCAGCATAGCTGTTTTCATTGAATGTACAGATAAATACTTCTGACTGTGCTGCAGAAATGTGCACATTTTTTTAATTTGCCTCCAAGTTCAAAATGCCAGTTTCCATTAATGTATCTCTGTTTAAATTGTAGATGTCTGTGGAGATTCTCAGTCATCCAGGTCATAGTTGTCCCAAAGGTGTGTGTGTGTGTTTATGTGTGTTTTTTCAAAAGGCAACTGAACTTTCTTGTTTTTTCCTTGAAGATGTTTCGCTTCTTATCCAAGAAGCTTCTTCAGTTTTGCTGAATGATGAAGAATCCTTCCATTCTCCACCATTCACTCAGAACTGAAGAAGCAAAATATCTTCAAGGAAAAAACAAAAAAGTCCAATTGCCTTTTGGAAAAAAACACCTTTGGGTTAAATTGTATATGCATGTTTAATAACTGCTATAATTAAAAATTATGTATAGCCCAGTGCTACAGGGAGAAGTTTCTCAGACATAGTCCCTCAACTCAAATGATGTTAGCAAAACATTGGCATTTTTTGAGGAAACTAAACCATTGTTCCATGTATTTGAAGGATTCTAAAATTTCTTCTATGGAACGTGGACTCCGAGACTTGGAAGAGGAAATCCAGATGTTAAAGTCAAATGGTGCACTCAGCACAGAGGAACGTGAAGAAGAAATTAAACAAATGGAGGTGTATCGTAGCCATTCCAAATTTATGAAAAACAAGGTAATAACTAAACCGTGTATGTTAAAAAAAAATAGTTTACAATTCCCCCCAAAAGTTAATGCATTCACTGAATCATAGAACGGATAAAGGATTGATGATCTATCTTCTCTACCAGAGTTCCTTCAAATTAAGTGGAAGTGCTTAAGCAAAGCTATAAATCCATGTTACCGTAATTTAAGATTGGTGAACCAAATTTGATTTAAGGCGTAGAAACCAATTTAGACAAGTCGAACTGCCTCAACATAATAAAATAAAACTGTATTGTTCATGCTCTGGTAAAATACTTAAGGGACATTTCTTGCGTGAATTAATGTAAACAACTGTTCATGACATAACAAAGTGTCTTGGAAAAGATGATGATGTTAAAATTTAAGACAGATAAGGGTGGAAGATCTCAAAAGGTTACAAGTGGTCATGCATTGCGCAAATTATAATCAATATAAATGTTTTTAGAGTCTGTTTAATGTCAGAGAAAAAGGAGGGAACTCCCAGGGCTTTCTTTGAAAATGCTGAAATTGGGGTCATTATAAATTGCTGTATTAACTTTGGGCATTAGAGTAATCGGATTAAAATACACAAGCACAGATTTGCTTGCCTTATATGTGTAGCTTCCAGTCAGTTCAGCATTTGATATGGTTATGATTAAAGTACTAAACTGAGCTGAAAATAGTGAAAGGAAGCCAACTAGCAAATCAAATAAGTTTTTTTAACAAGATTATTGTTTATAAGACATAAGTGAATAATATGGTAACTTAATGCCAAAAAGATTTATCTAAGACTCCCTGAAGAGGCACTATTCAATAATTCTGTATTTGAAGTGCCATCACCTGCTCCCTGGAAGGTATCTGTCTCACATCACTTAATAAAAGCACAAGTAATAGGTCTTCCCAAAAGCATTCTAAGGGGTGGTTCTACATTAAATCCAGACATGGACTGGGTACAGATGAAGCAAATAACATGTCACATAAATGAAAAAGCACTTTAGCAATCTTGTTTCCTTATTTCGTATCAACTGCAGTTACCAGTTTTCAAGAGCAGCATCTTGTAATATGCATCACAGTAGTCTATAAAGAGGAGATCAAGGGAATAAAAATTATCAGAATACCCAACTACCAAAGGATTGATAGCATGTTCTAGATCAGGGGTAGGCAACCTTGGTTCTTTTATGCTGGCTCAGGAATTCTGGGAGTTGAAGTCCACAAGTCATAAAAGAGCCAAGGTTGCCTACCGCTGTTCTAGATGATGTCTTCCAAGAATGTGTAAAGTATGATAATCATTGCCTATAAGTTTAAGAGAAAGTGGTTATTTTGAGGAACTGGTATTTAATCATGACGAGCTGCTTATATGTTTCCTATTCTTTGCATCTCTTCAAATGGAAGAAGGTTAAGAGGAAAATATTTTGCTCTAAATGTAAAAAAATAACAATGTCATGGCAGGTAGAGCAACTGAAGGAAGAGCTAAATACCAAAGAGGTTCAAGGGGAGGAACTGAAAAAAAAAGTGACTGATCTCCAGACAGAGGTCTCTGCCGTAAGATTGACGTTTTTTTATACAGCGCTGCTCTGCCAGCTTTCTGGGGTGGCTTAATTTCCTTACTTTACCCTCTGCAACTCTAAAGAGCAAGAAAACTAACAGTTCTGCATCTGTCCTTATTCACACCTGATTGATATATTACAATATATAATCTGCCCCTTTGAACACCCAGTTTTAGTTGCTCAGCTTAAAAGATCACCACAGTTGCATGAATTGTAATTTTATCACTTAGAAAGAACATGAAAGAAAATTGTCACAGCATGATTCATATCTTTGAGATGCATGTATTAAGCTTTTGAAATGAATAGCAAGGTTTGCCTGTTCCAATTTGAGCTAGCACAGGTAATCTTGTTTTAATAAGGTGGCATAGTTTTAATAAACTGTTAGGGGCATAAATATGTATCTTGTGTTGCTTTAACTTCCTGGAATGATGCTTTTTACATATCATGCATGGACACATTTGACGTCTTCCATAGTTTTATGATGTATTGTGTGCAGCAAATTCAATTTCTAGTTCTAGTCAAATGCAATTCTCTAATATATATTTAAAAGAGAAATTTTACTATTTGAAAATGTGTGAGTTAATCTTTGATCTTGAATCCATTCTGTGCTCCTTTCTAGGTGGAAACATTTTTTCAGATTTTTTTAAATCCCACCTTTATTATTTTATACGTAACTCAAAGCAGCAAACATACCTAATATTCCTTCCTCTTTCTATTTGGCCCAGAACAACAATCCTGTGTGGTATGTTGGACTGATAGAGAGCAGTCACCCAGCTCGCTTTCATGCCTCAGGCTGGTCTAGAATTCACAGTCTCCTGGTTTCTGGGCCAGCATCTTCACCACTATACCAACATTTATGTGTTTGAGAAACTTGATTTGTTGATTTTGAAAGTTTCTGAATTTTGTGTCCTGTCTCATAAATCTAGTTGTCTAATTATCATATTAGGAAATAGGAAATTACCATTTATCATCTTAAAAATTAAATCTTAAGGCAAAAATGAAATGAAGATACACCTGTCTTTAAGGTCAAGTAGTAGATAGTATTCATAACAAAGGAAGAGGAAATAGTCTGTTTTTTGGCATCTTGGTATTACTATTAGAGCTAAATATATTTTTAAACAGCTGGAAGTATATTGAAGGATAAAAAGATTATTATTTATTATTTAAATTCCTTCCATGGGCTGGGGTCAGCAATATGATACCCACAGATATAAAAGCATATTTTGGCCCCAAAAGATTTTACCCAAAATGATGGAATGAATTGAGATTGCTAATTTTCGACATATTTTGACTTTCTTGCTCAATTTTATTGCATGAAATTTCATCAGATTTTAATGTTCTTGTATGAAATCTAGCAAGATTTTGCCATTTTCACATAAGATTTTAAAATATGGCCAGCATATCATAAGACTTTAGCTACACTTCAACTAGTAGTTAATTATCCCCAAGCCTTGAAAACAATCTTTGAAATGAACTGAAACTATGTTTGCCCATGCATGTTGCTCTGCTTTACATTTATATTTTATCCTGCATCTCTTGAGGTCTGAGGAAGCATATAAAGCTAAAATGAAAAAAGATGTGAAGAAATAATAATGCAGACATGTAATAAATTCTAGTGATAGTTTTCATCAAATCTGAACAATTTCATCAAATCTGAACAATTTCTGCTTATTAAAAGCCAGGGTTTCTTTTCCTGCTGTTCACTTTTGAATACTTAAAAAAAAGCTTGTGCTATGACTGATTTCCTTGGCATTTGGGCCTTTTTCAATTTTAGTTTTCCACAATTGTGAGGCTAATGGTTATAAGAGAAGCTGTTTACTACAACTATAGTCTTACGGTCTTCCCATCAAGGAGTTTTCTTGTAGGAATGCTTTATTCTCTTTTCCTCAAAAACTCTTTTAACATTACACAAAAGCATGCTTTTAGGTTTACTATTCCTTTATACAGATTCCTTGATGCCATATCTTGAGATTGCTGGAAATGTTGTTCTAAACTGGAATTAAGCAATTTCCATAATGCTTCTGAAAGTTTTCTGCAGTGCATTGTTGCCATTTGATAACATATATTCTCATACTTGACTCTCCCTATAGATTGGTCAAGTAAAACAGGAACTATCCCGGAAAGATACAGAGTTGCTGGCTTTACAGACAAAATTGGAAACCCTCACAAACCAGTTTTCTGATAGCAAGCAACATATTGATGTACTCAAGGAATCCCTTACAGCAAAAGAACAGAGAGCTGCCATCCTGCAAACAGAGGTAATCAACATATCCTTAATACCGGGGAGTTCTGCACATTGATTAAATTATTGGGCTGTGAGATATGCATTCCTTCTGTTTTTTTCTTAACAGTTCTTAAGTTGGAAGGAAAATTTGTGACTTCCCAGTTCTAAACTTGAATATCTCTTTAAATCAGACATGTCAAATTCGCGACGTGACGTGACATCACGCAACGTATCGGGAGAGTTTTGCCATTGCTGGCAATGGGGTGGGCGCGGCTTCCGCATGACGTGTCCGGCCCGCGGACTGGCAGTTTGACACCCCTGCTTTAAATCATAATCATAAGAAAGAATCTGGCCTATTCAGCAGTGTCCGTTAATCTATAAACATAAATAAAGGCAATAATTCTCTCCCATTGTTTATCAATTGTAGCCATTGCCAAACTCTAGAAGATCTCTGTCATCCCTGAATATTGATAATTCTCATAGCTTTTGATAAACGGAAATTCCATTTCCAATTACTGTCATTAAGTGAGAAATATATGTAATTTGGTATCATCCATGAGCTTACCTTTCCGAATGTGATCATTTTGGTCCCGATGAGAAAAAATAATTTATTTTCATCCAGAGTTAAAACTGATTATCCATTCCTACCTCTACTTTGTGTTCTTTAACTAGTCTATAAGACACCTGGTTCTGTTTATCAGCTGCTAAACTTGTTTACATCTGCACTGAAATTAAACCTGATTAAAGTTAGCTTCCTAACATCGTGGCACTCTTGGTTGTGGTTGTTAAACAATTGTGTGGGTTGTTAAGCAGACAGAGTAAGAAGCATGGGGTTCCCTGGGTGATATGGGAGATCCTGGGAGGCTCTGCTCAGGAGATGAAAATCCTCCCTATCAAAATCCAAGCAGGATTTCCAACCCATGAGGGAAGAGACACTCATGCATGGCTTGCACCAATCCTCCCAGGATCACACTCTTTACCTTGCCATGCTGACTCTCTGCTTGGATTTCATCTACCTCTTTTCTCTAGAGGCTGGCTGAAAGAGCTGCGTGCTGAAGGAAGTCAGCTTCCCTCTGTGCATGATAAGGAACTCCTTTGATGAGATGCAAGAAAAAAGCTGAAGGGGTTCAGCTCCCTTCCACGCATGGAAGCAAACTCCTTCAGTGGGCTGCAGGAACAGAGCTAAAGTCTTCAGGATTTTGGTTCTGTTTCAGTGCCCCCTAAAGGAGTTAAGTTCTCTTTCAGAGATAGCTCTTTCAGCCAGCCCCAAAGATGAGAGGGTGTCCTCTGGGCAGGAGGCAGCTTGCAACCTTCTCTGCCAGCTTCCCCATTGATATTCTAGGGAAGCTAGCAGAGAACTTGCAGTCACATGATCATGAGGTGCTTGGCAACTGTTTGCAAGTGCTAACAGGTTACCAAGCACCTAATCATATGACTTGAAGGGTGGTGGTGCAACGTTTTGCGATGGCCAGGAGTACTTTATAGGCCTGTAGTGGCAAACCTATGGCACGCATGCCACAGGTGGCATGCAGAGCCCTCTCTGTGGGATACGCGCCATTGCCCCAGTCCTAGGCCTTCAGCTGGGTTTTATAAAACCTTTTCGCTTTAGGCCTCCGGCGCTGTGTGCAAAAAAAAATAAGGTTCAATCAATCAATTTCAACTTCTCGCGGGAAAAAAAATCTCGCAAAGTTGGAATTGATTGATTGAACTTTTTAGTCCCACTCAGTCTGCCGTTACCACAGCAGCCACGCCCACCCAATGGGCCACACCCACCCAATGGGCCACGCCCACTCAGTACATGACAATATATAAGTGGGTTTTGGGTTGCAGTTTGGACACTTGGTCTCTAAAAGGTTCGCCATCACTGTTATAGGCTATAAAGCAATGGTTCTCAACCTTTTTAATACCGCGACCCCCCCCAACCAGTTGTAAGTCAAGGACTACTCAACCGGTCGTAAGTTGAGGACTACTCAACTGGTGCAGCACCGTTTGCAGAATGGGACTTTTGGCGGGCTCAGCAAGGCAGAGACAGCCTGGACAATTCCTATTGGCTTTTGAAAGCCAATAGAATTAGACTCTATTCAAGAGAGTCTATTCTATTGGCTTTCAAAAGCCAATAGAATAAAAGGGAGTAGCACAGCTAAGGAAATGGTGGACTGCGTTTGGCGACCCCCGTGAAATGGTCGTTCGACCCCAAATGGGGTCCCGACCCACAGGTTGAGAACCACTGCTATAAAGCATCCTTTCCGAGGCCATTGTAATTCTCAACCATCATTATATAAATAGTCATAAGTTTAGGACTACCGGTATAAGCAAACGGTACACATAAAATTATCAATTTCATGTTAGGGTTCAGGTCTTTAAAAGAGAAAAGTTCATTTATAGAAGTCCTTTAATCATGACATTGAAAAATGAATGAGAGGGAATTGGTTATTTGGTTCTTTGTTTTAAAAATATCAATATCATAAATATCATAAAGGGAAAAATCTAACATTCTTGCGGCTTTTGCTCTAACAGTGGTATTGCCATTGGCTAATATGTTGCTTTGACATTTATTTGTGTGCTATAGATTAAATATATGTTGTGGCAGAACATGTGTATTGAAAATAATACATATGGGTGTGTTTTCTTATCTGACAAAACTTCCATTACATTTTTAACAGGGAAGTTTTCAATATAAACATAAATAACTATGTGTATATTTATATTTGTGTGTGTGTGTGTAATTGCTTCCTTGGACTAACAAAAGTTATGTATTAGCCATAAGAGGGCGCCAGTATATTATTTATTAAAATTTGTGTTTTGTTAGAATCATCAGAATAAAATTAAATAAATAGCAAATACCTAATAGGGAAACAGTTTGCAAAATACCAAATGATCACTTTCATAGCTATAAATTGAATTTTTTTTATCAATTAAATAATTGTTTCATTTCACTGCTTTGGTTCTCAAATTTGAAATATCCTAAATTGACAAAATCCTAAATTTCAGAATATTTTTACATATGTTATTTATATTATGACTAAAAATGCTTTTTTATTTAACATTAATTTGATTTACAAAATTTATACTGTTCTTTAAATGTTTAGCCTAACAATCTGCAGTTACCTAATTTATAACCTTTCCATTTAGCAGTTTGAGGAGGGGCAAGACAGTCTTTGTGTAAAATATTACTGAATATTTTTACAAAGAGTCTGAAAGAGAAAACAAAAACTGTACTTGAAATTGTATGATAAAAGTTATATGTAGAGAGCTTTTGTGAAGCATCATAATGAAAAACCAAAAAATTGGTCTCCAATGGTATAGGAATGAAGATGACATTTCTCAAATCTGTATTACAAATTTATTTTGTGGTCTGAAAATCTTTCTCTTTTTTTTTTTCGGCCTTTAAAGCAGTATGAGGTTCTGTTATTTAGTACATAAATATGTATCTTCAGAGAACATGAATTAATAACAGCTGCCAGTATATTTCACATTTGTCAGTGGCCAAGAAATTCAATATGTTTCTGCATAATGAATTTCTTGGTAATTAATGAATCAGCGATATGAATTACCACGGATACCATTGCATTTATAGATTTATATTTTATGTTTTTATGTGGTATGTCTATTTTGTTTTAAGTTGGCTAAAGTTGGCAGTGACTTTTATAATAGTGGTCTGAAATGCAAAATATCTTGAACTTGTTTATTCCAAAAGGCGACTAAGGAGACAGGATATTGTATCAAATATGAATTTGCGAAAGAGGCTTTATAAATAGGCCAAGAAATTTAGAATATTTTTGTAAATAAAGCAAAATATAAATCAACATTTATTCTGGAATAAAATGCTTCATCTATTTTTAATTTTATTACTTTGCATGTGAGTACTTTGGCTTACAAGAATATTGCCAAATACTTTTCTTAAAATACTGTTTGTTTGTTTTGGGTTTTTTTTTTTTAAAGTGCCAGTTATTTGGCCTACTCCTTACCAATTCAGTGTAGAAATATAAATTCAGTGCCCAAGAAATTTATTATTTTCTCCTGTGAAATTATTTACTAACATTCCAGTTTTGTCTTTTCTGCATACATAAAGTAAACCTCTACTTCTATTTAATATTTAAATAAAATATTTAGGACACTCACTATGATTTTGAATTTTAATTTTACACATACACACGTACTCACATACACATAGACAGGTATCCCTTGGTTAATGACTTCTTGTTTAGCAACCATTTGAACTTAACTGTATATCTGATTACAGCTTTCTAATAAATCCCTTTTCCCTGTTTGCCTAATATACACAAAAGAAATTGTAAGAAATAATAATTTAGTTATATTGTCTAGGAGTCTGAACTGCAGTAATAGTAGAGTACATCAATTTGGTAGTCAAAGTTCACTACTGAGCCATACTGGATAGGAAGAACATTCAAAGATATAGTTTATTTCAGTTTCTAGTATAATAAGAGAATTTTCCCTGTTCTTAAGAATTTGATAATTTTTTGAAAAGTTCCTATTTTAAACCTTCTCCATCCTTGAATCCTTTTCTAACAGTAATTCTTCATCATTTATTATTTGTTAATGAAATTTGTAAGCCTGCCTATCTATGCAATTTAAAACATCGAAAGTTAAAAAAAGAAAGAGGCCTCTCGTTAAAAACACAAAGTACCTATGCTATATATCCTCACTGATATATCCAAACTAGCAGCCTGGCCAGTACCTGAGAGAAGAGCTAGGTCTTCATGACTTCTGAGAATCCAGTAACACTGGGGTTGCCCATGTTTCTTGGGGAAGACTTTTCCAGGAACTGCTTCCTAGGACCTACCAGGGATCATTACCTCACTGAGGGGATCAGGAGTATGCAGAAACCATTGGAGCACGTAACCTGGCCCCATACCATGTAGGGCTTTAAAGATGACAACCAATACCTTGAATTGCAACCAGCCACAACCTGGTCAGCCATAATATGATCACTGGGTGTCTGTCTGCAGAACACTGTGGGTAACTCTGTGAGTTGGGGACGCCTAGACATGATCTGATTCAAGACCATCATTGCTTGCTCATTCCAAGATTGTGGCTTTAGCAGAATCATATACCATAGCTTTAGGATCTACTCTAAGCTGGGTCCATCAGTTGCCTGGGGCAGATTGAATAAATAGGTCCTTTTCCCTGTAGTGGGGAACAGCAACAGAGAAGCACAAATCCAAAAGGGAGAGATCTGCCCTCTCAGTTTACTAATTCTTAGTGGGGAAGAGGAGAAGATAAATACAGTACACATGTCTGATCAATTGTTTGTCAGCAGTGTTTACTTGCTTAAAAGCATTTTAGTGAGAAGAAACTGATTTTTTTTTTCTTATGACTGAATGCAGGTAGATGCACTTCGGTTACGCCTGGAAGAGAAGGAGGCAATGTTGAATAAAAAGACGAAGCAAATTCAAGAGATGGCTGAAGAGAAGGGAACTCAAGCTGGAGAGATTCATGATCTCAAGGATATGCTTGATGTGAAAGAACGCAAGGTTAACATTCTTCAAAAAAAGGTAGGCTTACCAAATACTGTTTTAAAAACGGAACTCTTTTATTTTCACCAGAATGTAATAATAGTCTTAGTTGTAAAGTTGCTTTCTGAAGCTCTTGACTGAGTCTTCTTTGACTCTTAACAACAATGAACGTATTTATATATTTATATCTCTGGCAATGAACTTATTTATAAATCCATGATAATTAACAATGATTCCTATGCTAAATTAGGCAATACATGAATTGTAATCAATATGTGAATAAGATATCCATCTGATTAGCCTCAACTGTATTTACTGTAATACTCATTAAATGAGTGGCAGATTCTGCATCACTTGCTAGAATGATTATGCAATCAGCATGAATGTATATGATGTTTCATGCAGATTATGCAAATTACATATGCAGGTTTTTCAAATAATAGCCTAGGACACAGGTCCCCCACTAGTGAGCCGTGAGGAGATTGAAACTGGGCCATGTAACTGGGCGGCTAGCATGCATGCGCATCCTCACTTGCATGAGCAGCAGCAAGCATGTGCACATGCATGCCATTTGCGTGAACAGCAGGTACATGTGCATACTGCTCATGCAAATGAAGCTGCGTGCCCACACTTGCTGGCTGCTCACGTGGAATCATCCCCTCTCCCCCCCCACGCCTGTCCACAAAACTGGAAACATACATACATACATACATACATTGTTCCAGCAGTTTGTGTGATGTTTTTGTATTTGTACTATAATAGAGTAATTTGAGGTTCCCTGTCCTATCCTCTATCAGTGCGCATACTTTTTTCCTGTTTTTTTTTTATTTTCTATCCACAAGAAATTAAATAGGACAGTAATAGCTGATTAGACATTTCTCACATGCAGTTATGATAAATGCCATTCTCTGAAGAATTTCCCCTGTGGATTTGTCTAACAGATTTCTGGACTTTGTAATAAATCATTGACTTGGAAAATAGAATTGATGTTTCAATTAAAGTCAGTTTGGGAACATGTGTTAAAATAGTAGAGATTCCCACTTACTGGCTGCTATAGATTCTAAGATTAGACTTTCTCTATATGCCTATAAAGACCCTTCATATTTACTTTCATTGACTATGTTTCTATTATAGGCCACCAACTGATTAAAGATACATGCCTTGGTCTTCTTCTTTAGCTACTGTTTAGCTAACTGTAACCCTTTGCTGAAAGCCATATTTCTGATACCAGAGTTTCTCTATGCAGAGTGAAGCAGAAAGTGCTATTCCCCCGTCTCGCGATTCTGCACAAGTCTGAACTTCAAAAAACTGGATGACCATCAGTTATCAACATAGAGAACTTTCTGTATCTAGCAGTAGTCTGGGTTTTTGCAGCGTAGGCATTGTGGCTGAATTGCAGGATCGTAATAAAAATAACAGCCTAAGAGAATACTAGCTGTGACATCTTTCTCTGCTGCTCTCTAATAGAGAATAGCAATTAGGATTATCAGATCCTGATAACTGTGATCCCTAACGGTGGCCCCTCAGTTTTATAGTCTGTGTCCTTCCCTTAAGATTGAAAATCTTCAGGAGCAACTAAGAGACAAAGAGAAACAAATGAGCAGTTTGAAAGAAAGAGTAAAATCCTTGCAAGCGGATACCACCAACACCGATACAGCCTTGACCACGCTAGAGGAAGCACTTGCAGAAAAGGTAAGTCTGGCCGAAAGGAGTTAACATTATTTAAAGATTGTGCCTTCATCACTGTAGACATCTGTTTGAGAAGTAATTCTCTCTCTGTCCTCTTTCATTTATTTTATTGCTTGAAATAAAGAAAAATATAAGTGCATACCATAATACAAAGTTATTAATCCTGGTAATGACAAAAAATAGAGATATTTCTTTACCAGATTCTTCAATATCACCAACCATGGCAGTTTTTAATGTATTGCATTCACCAGAAAAGTCCTTAAAAATTCAGGGAAGCATTCAGAGATGTACATGCCTTTGCAAGGTGTCCATGTTGACCACAGAAAATGTTTATGGCAGTTTGTTGAAAATGATTTATGATCATTTTATGTCATAAATGTTTTATAAAATTTGCCAAATTTCAATTCCACTGGAATCATGGGTCCCAGATATTGGACACTTTCTCTAAGTTAGCTCGTTCGAAGTGCCTTGGTTCAAAAGGTTTTACCCTGACTTGAACCATTTTGCCAGTCAAAGATTAACAGACATGAAAGTTTTAGCAGTATATAGATTTTTCTGTAGAGAAAGGGCAAGTATTGTATATTAAGGCTCAGTCACCTATGGATTGAATTCTAATCTCTTTTGCTTTCCCTTTCCAAGGCCTTTTGCCTTGGAAAAAGAATTGCAGATATTGACAGTGTGGTTACAGTCACTCTAAAGTCAATTTATAAATTTGTAAATGGCCATTTCAAAGTAATCAGTGAGGTTTTTCCATTTTTTAAAAATCAGAACTGTTATCTTTCCATAATTTGCTTGTTTTAATGTTTCTCATATAAAGCCAGATGCCTCCACTGTTAAGCTCTTTTTTTTTTTTTTAGCAATTTATAGTATTTTTGTTAATGTTAGTAATGCCTTTTTAGAAACAGTGAATCTGCTGTCCCAATTCTTAGTTTCTGGAAATAAAAATCTTTGCAAGTTATTTAATAAATTCATTTATTTCAAATGTTGACCATTTAATGGTTTCAAAATAAAATTATTACAAGAATTTCTTTAAAATCACATTTGTTCATATCCTTTAAAATCCAATACATTGAATTTACTGGGGCTTGTATTCTGAATGAGATGGGAACTCTTTGGAATCAGTCATGTTTATTAAAGTCCATTAAAAGGTGGTGTTTCTTTGACAATAATATTCTATTTTTGCCAGGAGCGCACTATTGAGCGTCTCAAGGAGCAGCGTGACAGAGATGAGCGAGAAAAACAAGAGGAGATTGACAACTATAAAAAAGATATGAAAGACCTTAAAGAGAAAGTCAGCGTCTTGCAAGCAGATCTTTCAGAAAAGGAGGTTAATCTCAGAGATGCAAATATACATTTCGGAACTGCAACATTAAAATGGGCTTAGAATAGTTTATTTATGTACTGATTGATATTGGTTAAAGATAATGGTTCAACCCTGAATTTAGATATTTCAGATGCAGTCTAAAGTCGATTGAAAAAATGGACAAGAGGGAGGATAAAAATACAGGGCTCTGAAAAAGAATAAAGAAAAGCACAAAATATACTGTGCTGAGAAAGGTATTCCAGACTCCTTGGAATGCCATTGAAAGAGACTTTGAAATAGCCACCTATTGAAACAGCCACCTGCTCAGTGGGAGGGTACCTGCACTAGGCTTTCCAAAGTCGATCTTATTGCGTGGGGGGGGAAATAAATCAAAGGGCAGAGCCGTTCCTTCAGTCTATGGAGTTTGAAAACTAATTAAGTTTTCTTGCTTAGAAAAACTTTAGAATCAGTTTGTCTGATTCTGAGCTGACAACTAAGTTAAGTCAGCAATTACATCATTTGCATAAGCTTGTATCAAACGTAGGGGTGTGCAAAACATTGGGAGTTTGAAATATTTCAGTTGTTACACGCTCAGAATGAAATGTGCATATTCTAAAAGTTGTTTTGAGTTCCAAACAAGTCATGCTGTTTTCTTCGGTACTTGGACCGGTTCTTCAAGTGGTATTTTCAGTATTTACATGGGAGCACTTCCAGTGTGGGTTACTTGTGCCTTATGATCTGATATTTTTTTAAAAAAAGAAAGTCCAACTAAGCTAACATAGTAGCTGTGATCATCCATAAGCTATATCAAACAACAGTTATTTAAATCTATGGCTTAGGCCTAAAGAGCCATTGTGTATCTTGCAGTATTGTTAGAGACAATCAGGGCTTCACAACTGAATTATTACAAAAGCTCCTGAGTTGCAAGTAAATGCAAGGGCCACTATTATTACAATACTGAGTTAGTATAGTTTAAGTTGCTCTGTTGAATTTTGGACTATGTGTGCACTGTTGCTAATGAGTCTGCAAGTGGATGGATGTAAAAGCTTGAGGCATAGGTTTGTTTTGTCTTTTCCTTATTTAACATTAATGATAAGCATGAAAAAGTGCAGCAGCCACACTTTTTTTTTTCCAACCCACAAAACCCAAAGCAGAACAAAAATCAGGCCAATTGTTTTCTTGCTGGGCTTCAGCTTTTTGCTATTGCTTGCAGTGGTTTCCTATTGGAATTTTTAAAATAAAAACAATTATCTTGGTGAATTTTCTCTGCAGAATGGATGACAGACACTGATATCTGGGAATCTTGGAAAAATTAAGAAGGGAAAGACTTAGTCCAAATCCCATGGTTTTCTATAGACAGAATACATGAAACATATTTTTATTCTGTTGAAATGGTTGAATTGCTTCTATATGTGCTTCACAGGAAAATAATCTATTTAGACTGTTTTGGAAAGAGGCTTGTTGTTCTGAATACACCCTTACACATTCTTTATGTTGCAAAAAGGAACAATTTCTCAGATTATTTTTTGAATTTACAGCAAATCAAAGCTTAAATGCATTTAATATTTTTATTAGTCCTGAAAGTTCCTCCCAAACTCCTATTGCTTTTTAAACAAATAGACAGCTACCATACTGAAAATAGTATGATAGCTATTTTTAAAACATATACCCTTTAAATGAATTTTAAACATTAGTAACTAACTTGTAATTAAAAACACTTCAATTTTGACTCTAAAAATAGCATAGTATACAGAGTGGAGTGGAGAGCCTATGAAAAATCACAATAAATATTAGAGAACGAGAGCAATATCTGTCCATGCATTTATTGTCTTGTAGACTACACTCCTGGATTTGAAGGAACACGCCTCATCATTAGCATCAGCAGGACTGAAAAAAGACTCTAGATTGAAAACATTAGAAATTGCTTTGGAGCAAAAGAAGGAAGAATGCCTGAAATTTGACTCTCAGCTGAAAAAGGTAAACATTATATACCTGTTTCCTCATAAATGAAATTTTATTTTTATTTTTTTGGTAAAAGTTTTATTGATTTTTTATTATAACAGCCTTAGTGCCTGGTGTACAGCATGTTGTCTTGTTTCATGTTTTTTTTTACAATCAATAATAGTTAATTAACAGTCAATAATAATTAATTTTTATATTTCCACAATTATATTAATTGATAATATATTTCCTTGATCCTCCCTTTTCCCATCTCTCCTCTCATAAATGAAATTTTAATTATGACTGTAACCTTGTTTCATTGTATCATAAGTTCAATGCTATGCAGAATAAGATGTAAAATCATTATTGCACTTCTGTTTGGGAAGAGGTTCCTGCCCATTTTCATATGATATTTAAAATCAGATGATCTGCTTCTTTGTAGCATAAGTATTCAAAAGGTTTAATTGATGTCATTAAAAACCAGGATCCACGAACACTGGATGGCAGTCAAACGCCTTGATCCCAAAAACCTAATCTCTACCCACACCAAACAGCACCAGTTCAATTGCAGTAACGCAAAAATCATAGGCCACTCTACCACTCGCCATGCTTGTGAGTTTATCGAAGCCCGGCACTCCACAAGCAATTCCATCAACAGACCTATAACCAGCCTACAAACCCCTCACAATCCAAATCAACTGCACAGCCAATCAGAAACCGCACCAACCCTCAACCAACCCATGCAAGCCGCCCCCCAACCAGCACTTCACCTCCCAATGACCCTTACCTGATGTAACCTCCCCATTACAAGATTCTCACTGGTGACTCACACTTGACCCCTCACAAGACCTTGACCTGATGGGACCCTCACCTGACATGACCTCACCATCAGAAGACCTACTGACCACACGAAGCCCTTAAAAACAGAAGAACACTGACATTCCCTAAACTCCGCTGAAGATGTTACCTAGCCTGGTAATGAAACGTTCAGAAACCAACCCACAAGCTTGGAGAATGAACCTTCACCCTCAACCTACACCTGAGCTACAGATATTTACCACTATTGCTAATCTATCTTTATACCGTAAGAAGAACTGGGCTTCATTTTGAATGCAATGACTCTCCTTACATTCTTTTTTTTTTCCCCTTTCAGAATAGAATATTTTGTAGCCTGGATGTGCAAAATAACTTTTGGAATGTTTTTTCCCAAAAGGCTTACGAAGCAACCATTGAGGCCAGGGCCAATCCAGAGATGAATGATAGATTTCAACAGTTCGAAAAAGAGGCGGCCCAATATCGAGAAGAGTCTACCAAGGCTCAAGCTGAAGTTGATCGCCTGCTGGAAATCCTAAAAGAGATGGAAAATGAGAAGAATGATAAAGATAAGAGGATAGCTGAACTGGAAAGGTGAGACAGGTGTGAGAGTATGGGGGAAGGAAAGACAAATTTCATATTTACTAAGCTTTTTTTAAAAAGCTATGGGTGGGTGCGTGCTTAAAACAATGTTTCTTAATAATTGAGAGGTCTGCCATTTTTTGACTATTCCAAAAGATAAATTGAAATTTTGGGATAGTGTCTTGTGAAGTATTTATTTTATGAAATAAAATTCATCTTTTTTTTACTAGAGACTTCCTTAATTTACTTAATATGGATTTGGTGATATATTTTACTTCTAGGCACAGTTTAAGGTGTTGGTTTTAGAACTTGACTATCTAAGGAACCCCCTATCTCAGTATGAATCTTTCTGGACTTTATGGTTAGTGGCATAGGTGCTTTATATACTTAGTTTGCCGGTTGGCCTTTTCCTATACTGTGTCCAAGCTATAAAATGCACAGAGAGCTGCACTCAACCTCTGGCTTTTTAGGACCTCCCTCTTCAGCCAAGATTTTTATGTTTAAGCCACTTTAGTAGTGATTTAACCACATTTATAGGATTTTAACTGATTGCTTTATTGTTTTAATTGTTGATATCTTCTGTACTATCTGGGCAGAAAAGCAGGATATAAATCCTATAAATAAATGCATGCCGCCACAAGCCAGTAAAATTATATAGATTGAAGTAACTTCTTAAGGAAATTTTCACTTAATCCTCGAAATGAAATAGCTTCATAGAATCGCTATTTCTTATGTTCTGTATTCTTTCATTTTGATATAATATTTCAATGGGTCAACAGATTGATTCAGAAATCTACCCTAGCCCTAGACCAATATAACTTGAAGGCAAGTATATTATGGGGAAAAGCTGTATATTTAGCATTGCCAATTCTCAGTGTAATTTTCCACGTTGAGATTGATGGGGAAATACAAAGTAAGCATTTTATTAAGAACGCACTAATAACTGACCACAGTAAATTCTCAGGATTGGATTACCAGCTCAGTTTTGTCTTTGGATGGTACTTATCCTATTTATGGTCAAAGATAGTTTTAAGATGCAGAGGCATTTCTTGTCACCTGTTATCCTAGAAGGTACGTCATAAATGAGAAGAAAAAAAGAGTTTTCCAGTTGTTGTTCCCCTCAAATAATGGAAAATCAATGCAGCAGTCAACTAGTAGATATAGAAGAGTATGCTCTGATATATCTGTTTACTGTCAACCTTTAAAAATTTTACTTTATTATTTATTTCTCAGCATGTTTTACTGAAACAGAAAAACTATAAAATAAAATAAAACCTTCTTGCTCTCAACTTGCTTTCTGTTTTTCCACAAACATTTTTCATTAATATTTGTGTTGCGTTTTCTTTTTTCTCCTTCTTCCGAGTTGATTTATTGTATTGTTCCTTTGGCAATGCTTTTTCTCAATAAGCATATTTCATATGGTCCATCTTCTACCAAGGGTCTGTCCCTGTAATCACAGCCTGTAAAGAAGGGTTTATGGAAGTTTGTAGGAAACGGAATTCAAGGCTAATTGTTTCTTTTCGGTGATATGTTTTATACTAATTGGCTACAGTTTTTCTTGGGGTTTGTTGAGTAATTATTTTGTGTATGTTTATTGGATCTTAATAATGCAATTTTTACAATAGTCAAACTAGTGGCATGGAATTACAAGGTCTTCAGAATCAGAATGATTTATATTTTTTTAATCTCACCCCTTATTCATTTGTAATATTGCTGTAAATTCGTAATATTGCTGTGAATAAAATTCCCAATACTATCTCTTCATTAATTTTGAATCCATGTGCAAATAAGTACAAAATTGAGGAAACTGTTGTAAGAGCATAGTGAAGCATAGAGCATTTGCAGCATCCTCTTTGTATGACTCAAGGGATTTTTGTATGAATCAAAGGTGGGTTTTTTTTAACTATAAGAACAAATATAAATAAAAGTAAATAAGGCACTGGAAATGAGAATGGGGTATAGAGTAGAGTAAATAGAGTAGAGTAGAGTAGAGTAGAATAGAATAGAATAGAATAGAATAGAATAGAATAGAATAGAATAGAATAGAATAGAATAGAATAGGGCTGGAGGGGGCCTTGGAGGTCTTCTAGTCCAGTCCCCTGCTCGAGCAGAAGAACCTATACCATTTCAGACAAGTGATTGTCTAGCTTCTTCTTAAAAACCTCCAGTTATGATCATTTAAGGGATTGTGATAACTCAGAATCTGAAACTCCCTTATACGTTATGAAAAGTTCAGAGTTATATATAATACAGTACTTTGGAATGTGTGTGTGTGTGTATATATATGTTAGTTTTTACTGAATTTCTCTTTAACAAACAAAATTGTTTTGTTGCCAACAGTTCAGTTGGCATTAATACAAAATCTTTTTAAACGTTCCTCCCTGAAATATCCAATATTTGTGTCAATCAGAGATACTTATTCTTCTTCTGTATTACCACAAATAAAGAGGATATTTCTGTTATTGTCCAGATAAAAAGTGCTATTCTTCAGAAGTGTACTTTTAGGGCTCTAGAGCAGACATGTCAATCTCGCGATGTCGCATGACGTCTCGTGATGTATCGGGACTGTTTTGCCATTGCCGGCAATGGGGAGGGCGCTGCTTCCACGTGACGTGTCCGGTTTGACACCCCTGCTCTAGAGTATCACCTTTGATAAACAAAATCCATTGTATCAATTCAGGTTGTATAAACTTTTTAAATAACTTTATATTACTAACATATATATTAGAAACTATTGTCAACACTGAATTGTTAATACTAAATAAGAGGACAGAGTATGACTATTATTGTTTTTTTTCCTATTGCACCTCACCTCTGCATCTCTGAGTTGGACTTTAATAGGTAACTTGAGAATAATATGAAATACAGTATTTCTAATGAAATCTAATATTCATATATTACTTAAGATTGTTCACACATATGTTGCTTTATGAGCAACATATGAAACCTCAGTTTCACCTAATCTCTGTCCTCTTATTAAATTTGGCTTCCTCTTTGAGATTTTTTTTTAAATAAATGTTAGATTTGATTGAGGAACAGCCAAAAGGAACTTAGTATTGTCAGGATTTTAACTTGCCCGCCATCTAAGATAAGAACATGTCCTGAATCTTAGCTTTCCATTGTGATCCACACAGTGCACTGAGTATTCTTTCAGTATCATTTTTGGAGGGTGAGCCCTGAAATAGTTTTTTTTAAATTATTATTACTATTATTAAATTATATGCTGCCCATCTCACCAAAAGTGAATCTTGGAATCGTATGTTATGTATGAAAACATATCTAATTAGATGGCAGAAACATTATCAAATATTGAGATTTGACTGAAAATGTCTTACTTTGCTTTCTGGCTCTGCTTTCTGACACTGTGCTGCTTTTCTGTCGCTCTTGATGTGCCAAGTTTGGAGTGTGTTTCTCATTAAATCTTTCTCTAACTTTCTGTTTCTCATTCCTTACCTTGGACTTGCTGCTTGCTTCAGCCTCACTTCAAGGTCAGTATGTTAATTTGAATATTTTATTAGACTGTGACATCTGAAATTTGTGATGAAGCAAAGCAGCTCCTTTTTCCTATAAAAAAAAGAAATTAAAAATCTTAAACTGATGATTTTCTGCACAACAGATAAAAAATGTGCTTTATTCAGTTATTGGCAGTGTTCTTACTAGTGTGATAAGTAGGAAAGGGTGGATAAGCTTTTTCCTTCATCATTTCACTGACATATTTTTTCCTGTGTGTGTCTATGGAGATTCTCAGTCATCCAGGTCATAGTTATCCCAAAGATGCTTTTCCATGAAGCAACAGTTGAAGAAGCTTCTTGGATGAGAAGCAAAACATCTTCAAAGGAAAACAAGAAAGCCTCATGGAAAAGCATCTTTGGGATTTTTTTCTGTGCAGTTTTCATCTCTCTCTTATTCATTTATCTTCCTTTCTGATCACGGAGAAGAGAGGCCAATAACAAAACCATTTGCCAAACTTAAACTAATATTTAGTTTGATTGTTTATTTTAATTGTTTATTATTAGCTTGTGGTTCGGTGTTTGTATAACTTCATTTATCATTTCAAAAGCTCCATCGTACTGCAAACTTTGTAACAATCCCACCCTCATCACAGTTTGTTATGTATTATACATGGTATCAGGTCTTTGAAAAATTTATTTGGTTTACCTCAAAAAATGTTCATCATTTTTATTTGCTAAAATATTTGGTGTGATCCTGTATATGAGAGGAATGTTAGTTAATGGCCCTATAAATGTAATACCTCAGTGTAATAAATGTTTGAAAAAGCATGGGATACAAGAAGAGAAACACTTTTATGCTGTTAATCATAATTGTTCAATTAACCAGCTGAGCATCCTTTTAAAAAGAAAGCACATTGATGTAATGATAGATGTTTGAAAAATGACCCTCAAGAATATAGACTACTGAATATGATGCCAGTCACATTTTCCTCTTTGCAGGTTTCAAGAATGATTGAAAGGATATTATTAAAATTCTAAAAATATTTGTATAAGCAGACTTACAATAAAAGTCTGTGTTGAGCTATCGATCACCCTCCCTCTTTGTATTAAGTCCACTTAATCATCTATAGGGGAGAATAAACTTGGGAAAACTAACAGTAAAACTCTCTGTTTTTATCACATGTAGTGGGGGGAAATTTAAAAACACTGTTGTGGTAATTCATAGCCTGTGTGTACCATAGAACTTTCAAACATTTAGCATATAGCTTTATTAATGCCATATGGAAGATGATGAAATAGGGCTGGCAAATCCCAGGTTTCTGCTAGGTAGATTTGTTTCAAGTCAAATCTAAAATACTTTAAAGCAAAAGACCTCAAAGGAGAATTTTTTAATCCAAGCAAAACAGCATCTTAATTTTCTTAATTTCTGACTGGATAAGAAGTCAGCAGGAAAGAGACCTAAACACATTTCATAGCTAAATGTGAACAATATTGAACATATATTTGTTTAAAGCAGTGGTTCTCAACCTGTGGGTCAGGACCCCATTTGGGGTCGAACGA